AGTGTTTTTAAGGTATTGTCATTTTTATAAAACAAATATTTTTATTGTTTGTCACAGATGAAGCCAAAAGAAACAGATAGTGATTTTGTAGACTCTGAATTAAGTAAATTCAAGAAACTATTTCCTGGTGATGATGATGACACAACCATGTATGGTGACAGTGTTACACAAGTGAGTTCCTTTCCCATTAATCAGTATTAATGCAAAAGTTTCTGATAATCTGAAATTTGTAAAATCCAGTGAATATGCTCAAAGTGCCAAAATAGTGAAATTAAATGCCAGTAAAAATAAACAGCTTTACAGTACACCAGGAATAAATATTCTGTCATTGTCCATCATCCAAATAATGTACATGGCATTCTTCTATGGGATGCACATGGTTTCTCTCATTCATGGTTGCAGATGCTATATATCATGATACATATGTATTCCATTGAACCTGTTATATGAGCTTGTAAACTAGCCTTATGCTGTGAACAAACACTTAGAACACAAAATAAACTATTCAGTCTATGAAATTATTATATCATTATTTTAATGGTAATCTATATACACTAACATTCCCCATTTCATTTACTGACAGTGTAGCTTTAGAAATATTTCCAGTCATTGTCCTCTTTTACTAACAGCTGTGCTTACATTTGCTGTAATCCTGTCTACTCAGTGGACTGGATTTAACAAATCAAATGTTATCAGCTGTGCTTTATTATTCCATTGTACAACTCATTGGAACTTTATATGGTTGAATACACAGATCCACAATATTGTGCATCACCATTCAGTTCCATTCAGAATATTAAAATGTCCTTGCTGAGTGATATGACTGTATATGTTTTCATTATTGTTGGCTTGTATTTCTCTTTGGAATACATTTATCTACTTTTTGTAACACCATTGTTATAACTACATGTATAATAGGAAACAAAAGGGAAGAAAACTAAAAAGAATGTGAAGAAAACTCCTAAGAAAGTGTGTAAAGTGAAAGGATTTGGTGATTCGCCTAAAACTCCTAAAAAGAAAAAGAAAAATGAAGACGATGAGAATTTGAGTTGGTTTGACACAGATGCAGTTTATGGATTTTTTGATGAGGACTGATTATTCCTATGTGTCATTACATGCTAACAAATGTATTTATAATCATTTTGCTTCAATCTGGAATGGAAAGACGATGTTATTTTGCTCCTTAAATTTCAGTTAAATTTGGTACAGCTTTAAAAATAATTTGCGTTATTTGTCAAAGATTTTACAGTTTATTGCATACAAAATTCATATAATTAGAGGATTATAAAATCCAGTTTAATTCCAATTTAAGTTTTACAGGTTTTGTAAAGTTGTCATTATTAATTAGAATATGTGATTACCATATTTGCTCTATTAGAAACTAATCTACAATAGAAGTTTTCACTACCAGTTACCCTCTTCCACAAATTCACAAAATCTTGTTTATAGTTTAGGCATTAGGCATTAAAGTGTGACTTATCGTACTTGACCTCAGATGTTCATCTGTGTCATCTATGTCAAGTATGGAAGTGTATGCGCTACTAAAAGAGCAAATATTGTGGTTGTAATTAATTTATGAATGGATTCACCAGGTTTGGTATTATATTTCAAAGTTTTATTATAGACCTCCAATATGATTACACGCATAAGCGTCCTCTAGTAATAAAATCAAATATGACTGCCACTAGGGTTTGACCGGACTCCACATAAAGAAGTTCGCTTATTCTATTTTGAACTTTTTAGATTTCAGCATTCCCATGATGATAATCAGGAGGAAAAGATGTATAATAATAAAAGTTTATTACGAGGATACCGCAAAGTATGCACTCAGACAATACACAGTCGTTGCACGTCGGTCAATACACTGTATACTGCTAGATCTAGCATTTCTGAAACTTGTATATTGATTGCTATATGTTATATGTAAATAGTCATAGTGTAAATACCCAAGTACACGTATAATATATGTAAAGTATTTCTGTATTTCAGAGTGTATTATAATATAGCTCATATAGTAATAGCAAAAAACACAATTCCTGAATTTGCGAAAAACAGTATTTAGATTCACTTACATGTATATCTCAGAATAAAAAGTCCTTGTACCTCAAATACAGTAAACCGCCTAATTTTTGCTGCTAAGAAATTTTGTGATTTGATGTGCCTATGAATTTCTGGAAAGTCGCTGACAGAGAAACTTCAACTGCTTAGAAAATTTCACAATTGCCAAAATTGCCGGTAATCATAATTGCAATAATAATCTTGGGGGGGGGGGGGGTAATTTTGTTGAAGCAAACTAATAAACTTATCAAATAGGCAATGAAAGGATCATCTATAGTAGTTATATGTACGTTGTCAAATTATTTTCAATTGTTTGTTTATTCAATAGTGAAGTAATAAACATCAGTCACAATTTTCTAGGTTTCCATGGCTTGTATCATATATATAGCATATAGGTAGACATTTGGGAGATATATGCTATAATAAATGTAGTACTGTAAAATACTTTATTTTCACTTGGAATTAATTTTTGCTATTTTTGCTGAAGGAATAATTCAGTGAAAATAAAATCCAGCGAATATACCTTTTTTTCCCTATATTTTACGTTCAACTTGTCAAAAAACAGCGAAAATAAATTCCATACAGTGATGCTAATTTTATTTCTGCTTAACTCACTGCAACTCACTGTAATGATGTCGTAAATATAAACCTGCCAGTTCCATGCCAGTAAATTTTCTATTCTGTTTGTGTTGTATTGTGTTACTGTAAATACCCCTAGCTATGTGCTTGGATTCTTACCAGTGTACAATCAAGAGTTTCTTGTATGCATTTGTTAACATTGTGCTGCACTGAAAAGATCTCATATCCTATGCATTGAAGTAGATTTTGTGTGCCAGGTAATTAGTGTGGAATGTAATTTATAGTCAGTTTAACATGAATTATAGTCATCAGGCCTGATCATTACCTGCTAATAATGTATCTTTGTTGTATAGCAGTTAGCTAGATGACATCAGAAATACAGCAATGCAATTGTACTAGAGTTCAAACCCGTTGTTGAGTGGAAACAGTAAGGTTTGGAACTAGGGCGAGGAGGTGCTGACTTTGACCCAAATTACCTATGTACTCCATTGCAGAAAATACAATAATATTTACACATCATACATACATAGTGTTACCCCATTTTTGATTAAAATAAAAAGAAAATACACATTTTATGGAATTTGGTGTTCACAAAATAATAAAATTTAAGCATAGTAACATCCAGAAATAATTGTTCCATGCCTAATTCGTTATATTAGAAACACGTATAAAGCAAAAATCACATTTGCTATATTAAAATATTACCTGTTTCAACAATAAAAACATCTCTAATTTATGTAAGCACATGCATTATTAGTATACAGCAAAGGTAAGGTAGTGAGACAAAAAATATTTTGTGGATATTTAATTTTATAGTTAATGTATTATAGTATGGAGATGGAAATACATTAATACCAAGCGACTGACTTCCCTTTTGGTTGCTGCAATTTGAGAACAATTGTTCTGCTTGCTTAGAAACAAACAACTCGCACTCTTTCATTGGATACAATTGTACATTGTAATCATTATTGTATATTAACTCTGCTGTATCTGACTACCATTCTAAACTAATGTTGTCCATGGACTTGATAAATAATCACCAGGTACAAAGGAAGATAATATGAAAGGCAATCACTTCACAATATAATCCAAAACAACCTTTGAACTATGGACCATACATTAGTTTTGACTATAGTAACTGGGCAACAGGTTATAAACAAATACCAACCAGACAAACTTTATTTATTTGTATAAAATTCTAAAGCTTTTATTTCACATCGTTGGAAGATATAGATACAATAGTTTTCATTCGTTAAAAATAGAAACGCCATTGATTTTCAAGAACTACATGGCATCTTCACTCCTATTTTAAGCGATCACCTGAGTTAAATAAAAATCCATGATAAAAATTAGGCCAGGTCATCCATCTTTAACCAATTACCGATAAGTTCTTGAAGATCAGTGACCTACTAGAGAAGCTACCTCAAGCCAAGAATAAATTAATTTAGTATAATTTACAGGCAAGAAGCTATAGTGTTGTTTTCAAAAAGACATCAAAGTTCACTCATTTTATACTACAAAGAAAACACAGGTTGAAATCCCCCATTCCCTCCCACCCAAATACTTGTTTCAACTAAATGCCTTTTGCCGACAATTTGTTTTTTTTCACATATCACGATTTTAAAACTGTTGCAAACTCATACTAATATTATACAATACTTTAGAGATGAACTAAAATCATGGTTGAAAAGAGAAGGGGGTTTTAACCACTTCAACCCACAAGGACGGACATTGCATATATGAAAATACTTGTATATAAATGTAAACTCCCTCCCACCCAACCCCTTGTCCCAACCCCTTGTCCCAACCCTGGCTGGAATATAGATACTGCATAGCACAGACTTCAAAACAAAACAAAAAAACATGTAAATGATCTATCCCCTCCTATATTGGCTTTTTATTGAATTTACACAGTTTGCACCATGATCAAAATTACTCTTATTGTCACATCCATATTTTCCAAATAGAGAAACAGCAACATTGCCAGCTAAGCTGTTGACTGTTTCGCTATGCGCATCTCAAGTTCATAGCCGTGGTTAGGTAGAACTGTTTTACGGTAAATCGTTCGGCTAAATGAGAACATTTACAAAAGTGATGCCACACACTAGACAAACCAGCAATTGTGTCCTGGCATTTCAGAATGTGTCAATACATACATTTTCATATACTAGTACCAATTTATTGAATGATATGGAAATTGCATCATGATCTTACATTTACATTCAATGATTCACTCACTATTAGTTTGATGTCTAACAGTAGAGGCTGGTTTCACAAACTTGTTCTAACTTCATAACGATCTCAAGACATGCATCGCAAACTAAACAGCATTTTAGCTGGCAATGTTGCTGTTTTGAAACACCATACGGTGGTGACAGTAATACGGATCGGATATACTACCTAACTGTGTTAACCATGTACATGTTTTTTTTTGATGGGTTTTTCATGATGTTCAATGTAAAGAACATTCCCACATACCCCACACACCAGTAACAGATAATACAGGAAAAAAATAATAATTGCTTATTTCAGCAATAAGTAATTCACACTGACATTTTAGTAAAACTAAATGGTTCCTGTGAAGTCAGCTGGGGTGTTGAAAAAATAAAATTAAACTAATACTGAACAAGATTTCACTTGTAACAACTTCTGGCGAGGACATTTCAAGAGATAAATTATACTTTACAGTTTATTGTGTATTTAACAATTTTACACTCCAATTTATGTTTGTTGTTTATATTTATTGTCCTTATCAATTACATGATTCAATCAACTGGGTCCACGATAAGAGGGGCCACGTATTCCGTGTGACGGATTCCAAACGAAAATCCAGGCGCTTGTGGTTTGTTGATAAAGACCTTTAAAAAAAATAAAAAAATATATTAGAACATGTTTTTCAGAAACAGTGTACCGTATTACAGATTATAAAAATGAACAAGTTAAAGCGTGACAGTCATGGTGCTGCATCAAGTTTGTTATGAGTCCTATGCCATTTTTATAACATGTATCAATTCAATACATGAAATCAGAGTACACACTGCACAACGATTGTGTCGCTTTAACAATAAGACAGATGACAACTTGTTAATGGAGTGCACACATTTAAAGATACCTAAAACACAAACATATGATATGAGATTGTTTTAGCTGCACATTCTTGATGAGCCTAGAAGTTAACAGACATGATGAGTAATTAACGAAACCAAACCATGAATGAGTACAGTGATGAACCACTCACATATAAAGCTTGTAGGTTATTTTTTAGTAAGCAAGAATTAATTAGTGGGTTACATGAAAGCAAAATAAAAACGACTAATGAAACCCAGACACAGTTAATACAATACATCTTTCGTATAAGAGGTGCTTCTATGACATAGATGGGAGAATGTCATGTCGTTGAAACTGACGTTTTGCTGGGTTGGGCACTCTCGCCTATCGTAGAATATAACAAATCTCTCAATGTTACTGAGTAATGATAAATTTACTATCAATAATGATACTATCAACAGCCTTCCTTTCACCCATCTATGTCACAGAAGCAGTTGTCATTAGAAGGCATGATTCCAATGAATGGTATATTGAACAGTTTTTTCTGAACGCAGACAGCCAATCCCTGAATAAGAACACTCAGTTGATTAACATCTTTAATTTCTTTTACCATAAACAAACAGTACACATGTTACAGTACATTATGATGTCTGTGCTTTACAATGAAATTGACGTAGATCAGAATTAAAACCAGAAGTAGAGGAAAATTTTGCTATTGCACACTAAGATCATGTCCCCCACGAAGTACATGTACATCTCATGGCCCTTCCCTTACCTAGTCGGTGGGAAGAATAACTGGACACACGTATTGAGAATGTCTAATTCCAAAAGAATGAGATGGGGCTGCTCTTTTATTTACACGTACCTAAGAAAGGTGAAACAACAAAAATGTTGTCAGACCAACAGAATTCTGTCAAAAACTATTTTTAACATTGTTGTATTGAAGTCTACAGCCACTTGCAGCCAAGATCCAAATTTAAAACTACTAAAACTACCTTTTGACACACTTTTCTGTGTTTTCTCCACACAAAAAAGAAGATTGTCATTAACAATAACATTTGAATATTGATCAAAACATCTATTAGCTATTTTACGTAGAACAATGATTACCAAATATTATCTGCTCTATTATCGATACTAAATTTATTATTTAAAAAAAATAAGCTTTATTGTTGATTCAAAATTTCTTGCTTTTGGGGGAACCTTACCTCTAATATAAAATAGACTTTATTTGATTTAGATGTTGAGATCTTGTTGACAACGAGTAAGCCAAGCATGACAACAATGAAACAAAGATCTATTCCTTCAGCAATTGAACACAGAAGCATGTTGTAACTTAAAGATTTCACAAACTGTGGTTGAATGCCTACCTTTTCTGGACTATGAGCTCCGGGGCCAGGTTTTCTTGTTGAATCACTTGGTAGTTGATTCCTTGCTGTCATGAATACTGTGGGTCAGATTTCTTGTAGCTATTTGGATCAGTAACACGGTAGGTACCAGGTCCTGGTGTTTTTTGAAGATCTTCGTGGAAACTACCAATCTTACTCCTTCCTGTCAATGAGTAGACTGGAGCAGCTGTCTTTCCGATAGCTTTGGCACCGAGAATGTTGGGTAAACTGTATGCATTTGGTGCTGGAAAAATAAAATAAAAATTTAGGTAAGCTGCAGAAATTGCACAAGAAACAAGATCACAAGCAACTTTCATCTACATAGCACAAAATTATTACTGTATTTGCTCAAATTGACAGGTGTGTCAAGGGTGATAATTAATAAAATGTTAATGACATGTAAATGCAACATTCGGTTTATTCACACTTTTATTAGATGTGCTTTCACCGTTAATAGGTAAATACAATTTTCGGTGTATGTAAGCTAATTGAGCAAATCCGGAACTTAAAAAAAGATGAAAGGGCATATTTGTAATTAAGATATTTTATGTTAAGCACTCACTGAAGACCTGAGATTATATGAACAAATTATAGAAAAGCCTTCATACAAAACATTCAACTAAAGAGGGCAATTATTTTTTTTCTTCGTCAAATTCCTAACAAACCCCACCCAGTTGATTAAAACAAGAAACAACACAGAGGAAAAATGACAATGATTGTTGGGCACTACTATTTGTAAAACATAAAAGGAAATGCTTCTTATTTAGGAATACCATGCAGTGTTCTCAAGAGGTTTTAGTTCGCAACCCTCAACGACACCCCACCTCATTTTCAGAGTCATCACACATTCAAAAACTCAGAACATCATTTATTAATGCATATAATTATACATGCTATACATAGCATTTAAATTTGTGGAGGACACTGAAAAAAAGTATACAATGAAGGCAGCAAAAATTACTACACGTACCTAGTAAAATATTATATTCATGAAAGTAATGCAAATATATAACACCACTTTCTCAAAAATAAAATAAATTAAAAACCCTCTATGAAACATACCTGGTTGCTGATCATATTTAAAACCTTTCGTTCGTGATGCTAGTGAATATGCTGGTGCAGATTTCTTAGCGGATTTTCCGGCATGTTCTGGTGAATATGCTCCTGGTCCTGGGGTTCTGAAAGCAGTTACATCAGACGGTCTACCATACAGCGAGTAATGCGGCGTGCCATCGGAACCAGTTCTAGTTATATGGGGACTGACTAAATAACCTGGCCCTGGGCTACAATCGTTTGTAAATCTTGCATGGCGTACACCGAAGCTGTAAGCAGGGGCCTGATGTTTGGTGTAATCGTGATACCTCTGACCAGTAGATCCTGGCACCATATAGCGAGGCCCTGGACTGCTGTACTCTGCAGCAATTGGACCCCTCCTCGAGTGTGGTTGCCAACCTCCGCTCATTATTGCTTACTGAGGGTGAAAAAGAGAGACAAGGATTATTTCACAGCACAACGCTTACCATGATACTTAGGGATGCACATAAATTGAACGAAAACAGCAACCACTAAAAACCCACCCTATGTGGTTGCCAATGTGTTTACACCATAATTTTAAGGTAAACAACAACAAACACAGATCAAAGCAACATATACTCAAGTAAAGGATCCTGCACACACAAAAATGCGATAAGCGTTATAACTATCGTGTTTATCCGTGTTTATATTTACGTGCCGCAACACCCCAAGCCGAGACAGTGCGGCAATATAAATGCCCGGAATAATACTAAAACTTTAACAAGCTGAACGTCTTCAAAACATAGGCAAAGTTCATAGATTACCAGACAAACATATTTTGGACATTAACACCGTGAATTGGCTTTATAACCCGAAAAGAAAGGCCAAAGTATTCTATGTTACAAAGCGTCCTGCTTAGAAACCAGTCGCTCATTACGTATTCACGAAGTACGCGTAAGTAGTAAACATTTCGTTGGCGAATTTAACAGAGTGCCTATAGCAACCAACTCAACGTCAAATTCAACACAAACCATGGATATAATTAATCTAATGAGAGGTTACAGTAACCACATAGGCACTCGGATTAGCCCTAGCAACCATTCATCCTGCCTAAATTTGCATGAAGATAGCCGAAGGAAGTGATACACCACGGCGATCACAGCAAGGAAAACCTGTATTCTATGAGTGACGCAAAATGCGCTTGCCTGTCAGCGAAAATCAACGAACAGACAGAGAAAAATAATACTCGCTGTAAGCATACGGTATTAGACAAGTTATTGTGAATTAAAGTTAGACACTGACTAGAATAATCTGGAACGAATAATGGCGGCCATTAACAAGGGTGTTTCAGGTTTTCAACGCAACTACAACTAAGAATTGCAACGAAATATTACGAGGAAAGCCTGCGATGTCTGTCACCAAACAAGGCCGGTTGCGAAGGGATATAACCAAATCAATCGCTATCCAGTTTAAACCCGACTACCTACCTAAATCAAGATGAAAATTAGTACGAAGTTGGAGAACAGCTTATCCCTGTTCACGCGTAGTCAACACTGTAGCGATCTGGAGATTTGACGCGACGATACAGTTGCTAAGATATACAAGACGGTATCTAGCCAAGAAACTTGATTGACAGAATTGTTCTTCGACGTAACAAAAGAATGGAAATAATCACGCCTGTTTAAGTCACGTGGTCGTTTCCTTTATTCCGGATTGGCCAGCGTTTATCGAAGGTACTTTGCATTCAGTGAAATCGATCGTTGGCCATGTGATCTTACGGAACGTCTTGATTGGTTCTCTATTGGATTCTAAGGTAGTGACGTAGCCATTGTTACAAGCGTGAGCAAACACTAAGCCATGTTATCGATGAGAAAGTACATTTGTGATCGCCCTAATTTGTTCTAGCACACTTCTCAACGCTATTAAACTGTTAAATTTAAATCTCCATTTTGCCCGGCGCCAATTTCTGTGAGAAGCGAATAAAACTACACCATTGCATGTGTCACATTTAAATGTCAGTGTCGCCGGCATTTGTTTACTTTGTTTGGTACTGCAGGTGTCAGTATGTAGTCGTTTGTGATATTTTGAACCACCGTCCCTCAACAACAAGACACTGTGTTTAAACCTGCCATGTATAAAAGTCGGTACATTTGGAGCTGAATCATTCTTAGTTTGTTTATTTTTTATTCCCTTATGCTTTATGTTTATGTACTTCACTAGTAAACATCAGAGTAACAACCGTTGCTAGGGTTGGTAAGGATACTGGATAGGAGCATGAATCCAAGGTGCTTGGAGCTGGAACAGTCATGTCACACACGCATTAAGAGCAATAATACTCTGTACAAATTCTATAATAACGTAATCGTCAAAAATTCAATTTGTTAAGTTATAGTCCCAACTATGTAACTTTTTTCAGTACAGGCGTATTCTCCGATTATTGAAAAAAGGGTTGAAGTCCACTGCTAAATGTTGTTTCAACTCAGATGGTTGCTATAGCAACATGCATGATGGTGGAAGCCTTGTTACTTTTGAAGCCATAGACTTTAATTAAGCTTACCAATACAAACGTTTTGATCACTGCATTGTACGGTGTAGTGTATTATTTACTGGTTGTTTTTTAATCTGTTTTCTGTTATTGGAGATTACTTATGTAAACAGAACTACAAATGAGCTTGAACTCGTCCAGAAAGGTGAATGGGTTATCTGGACAAGATACACTGTGTTATATATATTGTTATCTACTATATCTATTTGCTATTCTTCTGTAGCTGTTTGATTTGCTATGAAAATTTAATTTTTAAAAACACTTAAGAAGAATATATAGATTAAACTCAACAAAAATATTAATTAACTTTTGAAAATACTAAATT